TTCAAACCTTGCCTGCTCCCAAATGCTTACACACACACACACACACACACACACACCTTCTCCTCCTATTCCTTCCTTCCACCCTTATGTCTTCCTCCTGTTTGTCCCTCTCTGTCTGTCTGACTCCCCCTCTCTCTCTCAGGCGTTAGCAGTGCGTTACCGTCTCCTCCAGAGCGTGTCTTTCCCCTGCTCCTCGTCAGCCTCACGTCCTGGGGACACATTGACCTTTTCTACCCTCTCTCAGGTAGTACCATCACATTTGTTCACTTAATGGCAGTGATACAAAAAATTTGTCTTGCTTACAACAGCTCAGCTTCGGTTAGACTGCATTTGTTCAACAAAGATGTCCTTTTAATTCAACAGCTTTCAAATCAACAAGTGAGAAACTTCTCATCAGCTGCTTATTATTCTTATTATTTCTTGTTATAATGAGCTGAGTCCACTTGCGTTGATGTACTAAACAGATGCCAAACAGAAGACCTTGAGAGTCTGTGCGGGGAAATTAATTGGTTGTCATTGATGGAATTAGCATTCTCCTCTGTCTTCCCCTCTGGTCCTCATTATTCACCCCTCTCATCACTCCTCTTCCTCAGCCATCCGGCCCTCTGTCAGAGTGCTACCGCCCCCTGCTGTCAGCAGCTGTGAAGGGTTTTTTAACTCGCAGGCTGCTGAGGACTGAGAGAGTGGTGCAGCTGGTGCGCACCATCAGGGTGAGTATAGACAGCAGTGTCATGTGTCTCTAGCAGTGCACTGTGTTGGCATAAAATGAGCAAACTGCCTATGCACAGATTTCAGCTGTGAGTGTCTGTGTGTGTGTTTCCAGGACACACAACAGTTCCTGCAGGCCTTCCAGCAGCAGAGCCCCAGCAGAGGAGCGTTCTGTAGCAGACAGGACCTCTTACTGCAGGAGAGAGTCACTCTGCAGGTATGGAGCCAAACACATGTTGTAAAACACCTGTTAACCTTCTCTTCTTTTCTGTCATCTGAGCAATTATTCCCTCCATTAGCAGTTACCACAACAGATACCATGATTACACGCATTCATTCAAGCCATCATCTGCTCTGTAATTGTTTGCCCCTCCAGCTGCGCGCTGCACGTTATGAGGTCTATGACATATTCTTCAGCCTGTCTGCCAGAGAGAGGATGCAGCTGATCAGCTGGGACAGAGAGCTGGCTCGAGAGAGAGCGCTCAGACGACAGGTGCTCCTTTCACAAGCTCTGGCCAAACCAAAAAGAAATGGTGCACACTGGAAGACTGATGGTTTTTTACTAAAACAGTTGCATGAAGTATTTACAAATAATGCCAAAATAGGCACTAGCAGAATTATAGGTCAGGAAAATCAGTACAGTACAGTGTGATTGTGCACCACTGGGCCAAAACATAACACCACACAGATTTACCAATTTTTAATCACAGCAGTTCTGACAATTCGTTTTCAAAATACCATTATGTTTTAGTGTTGTTAAGACTTTTCAGGGCACTAACTGTTCACATTGTTGCTTTATAGTTCATGGTGCAGTTGGTCACATGTTAGTCCTGTTGTATTATAATATACCTAGTGGTTATTATGAAGACTAATCTACTCTGTAGATCCATGTTTATGCTTGTGTGTGTGTGTGTGCTTTAGAGTGGAGCTACGGGCCATCTGAGAGGGAAGAGTTCTCTGTCAGCTGCAACACAGAAATCACTGGAGAGGAAGAGAGCAATGCTGTGAGTTTTCACTGGATCAGTGCTGTTATATTTTTGTATGGACACCATTGTTATCAGTATAGTTACAGTGCAGAATGAAGCAATTTCTGTATATCAGATTAAAAAAAGCTCAAACTAGTGCCTCAACTCTACTGAAGTCATGCTCAATGTCGAAATGTTTGAAACCTCCAACTTTGCACTCCTGCTCTCATCAGTGCAGATCCAGTCATCACAGTAGAGAATGAACCGAGCCTGTGAAAACATTCACATTTATTCACATTCAAGATTTATTAGTAGATTTTTCATATATAAACTCCACAAAAAATAAAATATATTATTTTTATGGACTGAAACTCCTGGTCTACCAATTTTTCCGAAGTCTTCTTGCAGTTCTCGCATCCAGCACTGTTCATTTTAATTTTTAATGAACTGAAAAGCTTTCACCAAACCCTAAGAAAGTCTCCTTTCTCAGTGGCTGAAACCAGACTTCTCCTCCCTCCAGGATCCAAAAAAAGGCAACAGAAAGGCCCCGGGGAGTTGTGATTAAGACCGCACACAAAACCGGATTCTCTGCTGAGCGGCTGCTGGAAACCAAACACGGACGGTTCAGAACAAATCCTCAGAGCAACCCCAAGAGCACTCACTCCACTAGACCCCGATGACACTTTGCTAATTGGCCCCAGTGAGGACTCCTAATAAGGACTCTAGCGATTACATGAATATTTTATAATTAATCATTTGAGAGTTTCAAATTCAAAATCCAAATGTGACACAAAGTGATTCCTGTTGCTGACTAATATACACTCACCAGCCACTTTATTAGGTACACCTGTACAATTGTTTGCAATTTAGCGCAACACTTCTGCCTTAATATTTGTTTATAAAGTTCAAAATGTTTGTTTTTGGTGAAATTGTCATAAATGTATAAACTCAGTTATATGTTTATACTGAGGTCATAGTTAAAGGTGGTGTTGTACTGTTCTACATTATATTCAGAGGTGTTCCTAATATTCTGACCCTTTAATGCATGTAGCTGGGGGGAACAAAAATATAAAGACACCTTTGAATATAATGTGATCCAGTACGACACCGCCTTTAACTATGACCTCAATAATAAACATATAATTGAATTTACGTATACGTTTATGACAATTTCTCAAAAAACTGAAATATTTTAAACTTCATAAACACAGATGTTAAGGTGGAAATGTTGCATTGAATTGCATACAATTGTACAGGTGTGTCGCCCGATTGCCGGCCGGATTGGCTCCGGCCCTCCGTGACCCCGTTCAGGGATTAAGCGGTAGAAAATGAATGAATGAATGTACAGGTGTGCCTAATAAAGTGGCTGGTGAGTGTATTATTGTATTTCATTTCTTAAAGCTTTTGACCCAGGGTAGATATTACAGTGACTAGAGTTCCACTCACGGAGACTAGATTCACACTCTGTGAATGCTCAGAAGTAGAGATAAGACATCAGACATTCTTTACAAGGGCTTTTCAAGTCTTTTCGGTGTGCTCATGTTGAAGATGTTAGTGGGGGCAAGCTGTCAAAAACACTAACTTCTCCTTTAAAGCTCTGTGCAGTGCACCTGAAAGACTGTATATGCTTTTTTTTAAAGCAGAGAGGAAAAGCTCAGGTGTAATACCAAAACTAATCATAGCTTTGTTCCATTTGGATATTTTAGTAACCCGGTAGCTCACAGGTAAGTCTTTTGAGATTATTAGCACAGAAACCAGCAAAAATATATTTTCTTAATGTTGTTGTGTTTTGTTTTATTTTTTTGTTTGTTTTTTTTGGCGCTTTTCTTCTGGATTAGGCCTCAAGAAACTGACTGGTGTGTAGTGTAATATGATTAAGGTTAAGAATTATACATGTAGTTCTGCTGTGCTATGTTAGCATGTGAAAAAGCTCTGTCAAACAGGTATTTAAGCTCTTTGCAGTTGCTCAGTGTTAAATCTGCAAGATGCACTGTAGCATTGGATTATTCAGTTCATTCCTATTTCATGTGCCTGGTTCATTGCCATAAAAAGTTGACAATCTCCAGATGAATTAGCACATATTGAACCCCTTTGGTATGATATTTACATTATTTTATACTCACAAATACTCAGATGTTACTGTCAACATTCAGACTTGAATACTGTGTTACTCCCACGTTGTTACCGTACATCCTAGAGTACTGGGAATACAGCCAAAACACATAAATAACCATTTCAATTTTTTTTATTTTTGTGTGTTTTGGAGCTGTTTTATATGTTATTTATTTATATTTGGTTGGTAATAAATGTTTCTTAATACTTTGAAAGTTTTTGTTGTTTTGTAAAGTTTGTGATACCACTACATCCTCCCAGCAGTAGGTGGCGCTGTCAGCTCCTCTCCCTCTTTGCTCGTAAAGCGCTTGCCGCGGCTGTCTTTGACCGCTGGTGCTATGAGCTTTGTTTTGAGTAGACAGGTACTTGCCAGCTGATTTAAAAGATAATGGCAGAGGAGCCGGATGTCGGAGTTTCGTCACGGGCGAAGAAAAAAGCATTAGAAAAGTCTAAAATACTGCAACGGGAAAGCGAGAGGAAGATCTTCAGACTGGTGAGATGAGGAAACGGCACATTTAGAGCTGGTACTGTTAAGCTAGCCGGCTAAACTAGCAGCGTGTATGTAGTGTTTCCAAGCCGGTGAGTCTAACGAGGGATTTTCTCCTCTTGTTAACTAAAGGTTGGACAGGTCCTGAAGAAACCTGAGGCTGATCGGTCAGAGGAGGAGGCCGCTGTTTTACGGCTCCACAGAGACACTGCGGAGGAGCTCTGCAAGAGACAAGTCCGCAGAAATGTGCTCAAGAGAAAGCAGGAGGAGGTGAGACTGTCGGGCCCAGTAAGGAGTTTAGCTTGTGAGCTAACTGGCTACGCTGGTTTGATGTCAGAACTAAACCGGTTTTAGTTTGAGTGAATAAAGATAAGGGGATATCACTGAAATGACTGTTCTGAGTACTGCATCAGTACAGTCTTCATGACATAGAAAAAGTCTTCTTAGCCAGCCTGTATAACCTGCCAAAAAAAAACAATTAAACGCGTGCTGCCAGTTTTACCTCTTGTTGCTGTAAGAATCTGTCCAGTGTTTGTCTGAAATAAAGTTAGCACCAAGGTAGTTTTATAGGAATGGCGGAAAAGCTAATGTACAGAGATAAGTAAATAGTAAGATTCCTGATGAGGAAAAACAGGTTTGTTTTTTTTTTTTTACATTTTGCCCACAGAGTGGCAGCAGAGGAAAGCTGATCACTATTTTCATATTTTGTGGATCATTCATGTGTGGAAAATTTTACAATAATCTGCTTATTATTCACAAGAAACAGTTGCTTTCATTCATTCCACCCCACTGACTGTGTATATATGGTACATGCAAACTCGAGGGTTCACAGCTTTACTAAAATGCAGTACTTAAGAAGAATGGGATGTAGTATAAGTAAAGAACTACTTTGTGGCTACACAGTAAAAAAACAATACCGACATACAGTATATCAACTACACATTGGTGACTACACCATTACCCCTTAAAACCAGTGTTGAATACCTGCTGAAATAAAATGATTTTTTAATTGTCATTGTCTTTCTGCAGTGATTTTTAATGCAACCTCCACCTGTGGATCAGTGAACAGTACCATGAATATGCCTTCAAGTTTTTAGGATGTAAAATACACCTCTATGAGTGTTGACTGAAATATTTTAAGATATGGGCCATTCACATACTTATATGTGCTTGGGGGCAGATGAAGATAAATAAAGAGTTCATCAGTTACCGGTTGTAGTACAAGTATATCATTATACAATACTAACATTGCATGTTTCCATCACCATCTGCAGGTATTTGATGATACAGATGAGCTCAAACATAAAGTTAAACAACTGGCTGTGGTGGTCAAACAAGCAACTCACTTGGTGGTTTACACTGGAGCCGGGATCAGTACGGTATGCCAGACTCTGAAACTTCACTTTCCTCTTCTCCTTCAGACTTTGACAGGACTAATGATGCTTTTCCTTTCAGGCAGCTTCTATCCCAGACTACAGGGGTCCTAACGGGGTGTGGACACAACTACAGAAAGGGCACACAGTCAGGTGAGAGAGTTTGGTTTTGCCAAATCTTGGTAGCTGCATAATTTTTCTGAAGTGAATTAAACCACTTTGTCTTTTCTTTTCTTTCTTTATAAACAGTTCATCTGACCTGAGTAAAGCTGAGCCAACTCTCACACACATGTGCATTAGGATGCTTCATAAGGAAAAGATGGTATGCAAGACCTGGATACAGTGAATAGATTATTGTATATCAGCAGGTATTCTCATAGTATTTATGGATATTGGTATCCACATTATACCGTATGTGTTTCTCTAAAGGTGAAGCATGTTGTTTCTCAAAACTGTGATGGACTTCACTTGCGTAGCGGTCTACCCAGAAATTCTCTGTCTGAACTCCATGGAAACATGTTTATTGAGGTGAAACATAACACACACACACACACACACACACACACAGCTGTCATCCTCAGCTTTCTCCATCTAATCACTTGATTTCGACCTACTCTAAGGTCATAATATTTTTGGACAGAATTTGCAGTGTTGTCTCCAAAAAGCAACATCTGACAAGAATTTGAAATTGCTTAGTGCAGCAGAGGAAAAAAAAAAATCCTACATGCCGAGTCATGTTTGTGATGCATCAGTATTTTTCAGAGGAGGTTAACCTGAGTTGGTGATTTTTGCATCCTGTTTTCAGGTGTGTACATCCTGTTCTCCGGTCAGGGAGTATGTGCGATTATTTGATGTTACGGAACAGACATCTCTGCACCGCCACGGGACAAGTCGAAGGTGCGGCCACTGTGGCGGCGAACTCAGGGACACCATAGTGCACTTTGGGGAACGGGGGATGCTGGAGCAACCCCTCAACTGGAAAGGAGCTGCAGAGGCGGCCAAGATGGCGGATGTTATCCTCTGCTTAGGCTCCAGTCTGAAGGTAGTTTGGAACACTCGGCATCTTTCATTTGATTGTGCTTTTATCAGCTAGGTTCTTACTTGCTTTTGGTAATCAAAAAAAGTTGGATACATTGAAAGTTCAGTGTCTCGCTTAAATCAGGCTAATACAAATGTAAACTGTTTATATTTTATTTTAATAATGGCTTATTTTCTTGTTGCATCTTCAGTCTTGTGTGTTCTCTGTGTCACTGCTGTAGGTGCTGAAGAAATATGCTTGTCTGTGGTGCATGAACAGACCAGCAAGCAAAAGGCCCAAACTCTACATTGTCAACCTGCAGGTACATTACACTGTTGACATTTTAGATCAGTACAATATAAGTGAATTTGAAAAAGATGCTGACTATGTTGTTGTACTTTTGTTCCAGTGGACACCAAAAGATCATCTGGCTGTGCTAAAAATTCACGGTAAATGTGATGTTGTCATGAGTCTCCTGATGAAGGAGCTGAACTTTCATATCCCGGTGTATGACAGGTATGAACTATATGAAGTTACTGTACCCAGTGTGCACAGAGAACAGTTGTTGCCTTATAAATATAAAATGTGTACATCAGACCGTGCTCTACCATTCCTTTAATATGTTATACTGGCAAAGCATCTGTATTCTTTTAAAATGTCTTAAAGAGTCACATATCAAATTAGTTTTACTTTATCAAATACAATACATGGATTTTACAATATCATCACCATACTCTGTCACACACACACACACACACACAGACTTTTTTCCTCTGATCTCAGATTCCCTCATTCTGTCTCATCAGGGCAGAGGACCCCATCTTCAGTCTGTCCACACCTCTGCGGCCAGAAGAGGCCAACAGCCACACCCGCGAGGTCATAGTTCCCCCTGTTGGGCTGCAGGACTACTCGGCTGACCCTGGGGTACAAGCGGAAGCAACCTCCGCTGTGCAGGGTGGGTGGTTCGGACGAGGCTATGGCAAAGGAAGGAGGAAGAAGAAAAAAAACTGCGTAATCAAGGGAACTTGATAGACTGCAACATTGTGGTCAGATAGTAGCCACCTACCAGTGATCAATCCCAGTGAGGGAATGAAATTTCACTGTGATCTTTAGGGTGCTGTTACTGAGTGGTTTCTGTGATGTCCTGTGGCTACATTGATATGATTTAGTCCCATGCCCTGAATGTGTGTGCATGTGTCTGTGAAGGGGAAAAATAAGATTAGGTATTTCCAATACGAAAATAGCACTTTGTACCCTGAAAGTGTTTAATACAACTTACAGTTTTGGGTAGCAGCAAGATTTAAATGTGGCTTTTGTTATGTTACTGTTCTTGCTTAAGCTAGCTGTGCTAGTCAGAAGTAGCCCAGTACGGCTAGCACTGTGAGCAACAGATTGTGAATGACAAAACAATCGAATTATTGTATTGAAAACTGTATGTTTTAATGTTTCTGACTTGCACTCTCTAGACTTGAAAAATGATAGGAAATGTTTTTTCTTTGGCACCTTCTCATGTATGCTTTCACAGTGGATTTCAGTAGTAACACATTTTTAAAGCAGGAGGGATGAAAAAGCATCAAAAGAAAAAGTTGCAGCCACTCAGTATATAACAAATAGATTATATATA